TTTATTATTCTTCTTTCAATTTTGAAAATATCAAGTAATTTATTTCCAACACCCTTTACCCATGAGTCATGGTTTTGCTCTCTTTTACATCCTGTTTTAGACAATCAAAAAAAAAAAATAAAGAATTATATAACGTTTTAGACAAGTTGTTCTTTTTTTAGTTTCAATCTTGAAACTTATGATTTATATATTTGATGTTTAGCTATAAATTTAAAATTATAAGAAAATAATAATAATAATAATAATAAATGAAAATTTTGGCGTACCCCAACCGTATCCGTACCCTACATTTTTTAGAATTTGCCGTATCGGCGTACCCGCACCCATGCTTCATAGCCTAGCGTCCTTTGTCATGAGAATCAAACAAATCCAACACTCCCACACATACCAGCACCCAACATTCCACCTAAGTCCATGGAACATAGGTTACAGATAGAGGGTACCAGCGAGATTATAAACGAGAGATGGTCATGTAGGTGCAGGTAATATAATCGCACAGGAGTTGCTACAACACTTTGGTTAAGCAGGATTGCTGTTGCTAGAGGCAGGGACAGGAATGCAGACAGGGCAGTAGTGGTAACAGCCGCCTAGTAGTAATACATCATTAACCATGTAATATCAGAATTACATACAAAAATACAATCATAGAAACTGTGCTACCCATGTGCCAACGGTCTATTACTTTTGGGTATTAGAACAAGGATATTATTGGATAAGAAAGCATCGGCAAGCAGCATTAACAAGTTATTATCAGACTTACTTTCAAAAAATGGTGCAACTTAAGCTCTGCCATTATGCCCGTCAAAAGTTTACACTCGTATATAAGGAGAAAGGCAGCTTATTTCAAACAATATTTACCTCCACCCTCTATATCTCTCGCAAATCTTAAATTTATGCATAAAAGAATACTATGTTGAAAATGTAAGTGAGCATACCAACTGTTCTCCACAAGCATCGTCATCATTATGTCTAACAGTACCGTCATTGTTATGTCCAACATCAGTTGTTCCATCACATATAGATGCAATTACTTTGCTGTAATCATCAAAAGAATGGCCCAAGGATTCCTTAGCTTGTATCAGGTAAGGTTTGACCTTTGTTGCACAGTTTTCAAATACTCTCTCCCCCAATTTCCGAGCAATTGGCAGAACCTCCTGAAAATAGAAAAACCTCAGACAAATTCATAAAAACAAAAACAAAACAAGGGAGATAAAAACACAATAATCCATTGGTCAATAATAATTGACCTGATTGTCCTTTTTCAAACTAGCTAGGATGGGAGAGATTAGTTCAAACGAAATATCTTCACTTTCTTCCAGTACAAGAGACATAATTGTGACCATGGAAGAAAACACATTCTCTGGGTGATAATCCCTGAAAGTTGAACAAAAGCAATATCAGTTGCTGAAAAGAGAAACATGAACAATTTCATCATAGCAGGATTTTTTGTAGGTGATTTAAGTTAGGGAAGTAACCTTGTTAGCTAATCAATTAAGTTGCTTATTGGATATTTATATCTAAAGAAAAATATATGAATGAAAAACAACACTCAATTAAAATCAAATCAATAAAGAATAAACCTATCAAAAAGTATGGAACCTGCAATAGTGAATAGGAGGCAGTTACTTCAAAAATGGGGAATCAAAATTTTACAACTTTGCAACACTTTTGGTACCAACTCATGCAGAATAAACTCACACTACAGCCTAAATTTTTTTTTATACAACACGTCCAAACAAAAGTCACCCCTAGCTGGGTAGACCTCCACCATCTGCTGATATACATAAATATACACATCCTACAGCTTATAAAGTATGACCTATAACCAAAAACCATGAGTGCAAAATTAAATGTGAGCCAAGGACCAGGGAGAAGCAAAAGAAAACACAACAATTTGATTTGGCTTTACTGTTTTAGATTTTGTAGCAGAATAATATATTATATTAGAATTAATACGAAAATTCAATTTCACAAAATAAAGTGGATATTACAAGACAGAAAAGTGTTAATATAGCCTGGTTTTTCCAGGCATGGCACAAGAAAAAGAACATGTTCATCATCTTAAATATTAGCTCATACCTTATAGCTTTCAGAAAGTGGTGGAACATCTCAACAATCAAACCATCACATTCTAGATCCAACATGACCACACATGACCTGACCTTGGCTACAGTTTTAAGAATCAAGGTCCTCTTACTATATGATCTACTGGACTTGTCAGATAAATTTTCAAAGGATGATACAATCAACCGAAAGACATCCTGTGTACACATAAAGTGGAAACTTATGAGGACAAAAAAAAATGATGACAAAATATATCAATAAAATAACAAAAATCCAGTACCTTCATCTGATCATCATCATATGGAGCATCTGGTGCAGTAATTCTTGTTATCTCACTGATGCAGGAGGCAACTGCAACTTTCACATCTACATCAGGATGCCTTAAAAGTTCATCTGCAACCAATGCCTTCATAGATGGAGAAAGTGCAGTTTGCATTGATTTTGATGGTGACTGCTCCACCCTTGACAGAAAATTCTCAACTTGCTGAAAAGCAGAACAAAAGAAGAAGATTATACGAAAGAATTTACAAGCAAATCAACCAAGTAACTCTTAGGCACTCCACAATGACTCTCTCCCACAATTCATTGTATAACTCATCAATTAATGCCGATATAGCTATTGTAATTCTTAAAAGTTTCCTCTTTTCTATCATTTTGCCTTTTTTAAAACAAGTCCCTTTTTTTTTACTTGGCTTCTGTCACATTATTCCACCACCAAATATCTTTACAACACCACCTTTTTGATTGAAGTTTTTCCAGGAAACTTCTACTCATTGAAGTTTTGTTTCCCCTAATTCGGAAACACAACAATAGACTTGCATTTGCAAATATAGGGATTGTTTGGGATGTTCTAAATAAGTACACTTTTTTACTTTTTATGAAATATGAGTTGAGTTTGAAATGATATGGTAGAGAGGTGATATGACTTAAATAAGATTATGTGACTTAAATAGGCCAGTGACTTTTTAGCTTTTTAGAAGATGCCAAACTTAGCCATAGTATAGGAAAAATCTTCTCTTTGATAGTTGCAATAAGGGGTAAAGGACATAACCGTAGATAGAAACTTAGATAAATGTTTGCTCTCCATATAGTAGTACATCACGGTAGCATCCTAGTAAAAGATAGCCACTTAATACTGCCCACTCATGCAGAATCACATGGTTTGCCTAGGCAAGTGCCTAGATAAGCACCAACACAAAAAGAAGGTACCCCTTGGACGGCGTTCAAAGCCCGGGTTTCAAGCCAGTGTCTTAGCTGTCTCAGTCAGGGTTACCTAGCCATTTTAGACATTCAATCACCAAGTGCCCAGACAGCAGCCCATTGTTACACACGGCATATTAATTGCAAAAATCAAGTTCCATAAATATATATATATATATATATATTATTTGTCTTATACATTGATTCCACAAGATTCTGGCCAAGGAGTGAAACATGCAACAAATAAACACACAGCCTATTAATAGAAAAACTAGTCAATCTACAAAATTTTCCACATTGCATCCTAGTCACAGAGATAAAGTTTTAATCTATGGTAGACCAAATGGTACAAATAAATAAAATAAAGAGCCCTAATTAAGGGATAAATATTCCAAACTAGACCCAAATGCCATAAAAAAAAACATGCAGTACAGCAACCCCCAAAAAAAAATAAATCCAAAACCCAGATACAAGTCACCTCACAAAATTACATAAGTTAACATATAAAAACTTGATAAATCACAATTTAACATAAATTCTAACAAATATACACAAGTCACCTCACAAAATCACGTAACTTAACATAAATTCATGTAAATTAACCCATAAAAATGTGTCATAAGTTCTCACAAAAACGTGTAACTTAAATCACAAAAATACATTAAGTAAAATAGCATCTCATATGCCTCGCACACTCAAGAATTATCCAAATGAAAATTGTGTTATTCTTTAAGAAAAATGCATCTGTCGCTAATGATTTGGACATGATGGCATCACTTCAACACTGACCAAACTAGGAGCCAAATAATTATGTTGCCACACTCACTAAAATTACAAAATATTTGCTACTATGCCAGAGTCGATAAAAACACAAAACATGAACATAGAATCCACACTTAAGGTAGTAGCCTAAATAAATAAAGGTTAAATGTAGCACATACATAACCCTAGGAGTCATCTATGGTGGGGATGAAACAGTTTCTACTGAAGTTTCAGGTTGTCGCAAGCTTCAACTTAATAGAAAGAAAGTACAACAGTAGACCTGACCTGACCTAGGGTTCATTATTCAGGTTCCAAACAGCCCCCCAAATGGTTTGGACTAGGGCTCAGACTCTACAGAGAGACAAACCAAACTCCATACTACGCTTTCAGCTGCCCCACAAGCAGGGACACATGTAGAAATCTACAGCAACAAAATAAAGTCTGTTCAACCAAAAAATTAAAAAATGCATTTAGAGGGCAGGCTGTACAGTAAGAATAGGAGCCATTTTCAACCATTTTCCCAACACCAAATCTGCCATTTTCAACCATTTTCCCAACACCGAATCGGTCTATGCAGGAATTATCCACACTTGACTTTTTTTTTTTTAATAAGCAGAAGCTAACCTCCTGAAAACACTTTCTGATGTAGTTTACCGAAAAAATAACAGGAATAAGCAGAAGCTAACCTCCTGAAAACACTTTCTGATGTAGTTTACCGAAAAAATAACAGGAATTTCATCTAAAATAAGTAAGAGCATGAGTATATAACACTAGTTTAAACCCTACTGTTAAAGTATATAAAGAATACACACTAATACACTGTAAAGTAAAGCGCACACACACACCAGCAAGTATACAACGAATACACTGAAAAGCACACACACACACCAGCACACACCCACTAACATCACATGTTCGGATCACACTGTAAAGCACACACCAACACACACCCACTAGCACACCCCAGCACACAAAGAAAGCTTTAGCAATAGTTTAATGTACCTTCTCCTCTCTATAAATAGAGAGAGCCCAGTCTCTTGTATCACACAAAAATATACATACTGAATACATCAAAAATATAGAGCTAATTTGCTCTCTCAATCTCTCTCAATTTCTTTCATGGTATCAGAGCAAAGGTTTCACCACACCAGAGCCTTCGTCTCCTCCAGACGATTCCAACGCCACTAATTTCAGCCCAATTCGACGTCACACGCGCTCTCACGCGCCACTTCTGTGACCGGCGCGTCGCCTGCTTCCGCCTTCCGCCTCACACGCGCTCCACGCGTCCTCCACACCGTCCCGTGCTAACGTGCGCCGCGCACTACCTTGCTAACGTGCGCCGCGTGTTTCTGACGTAAAAAAAAAAAAAAAAAAAAAAAAACACAACTTCAAGATCAAAACATCACATCATTAATGACGAGACTCACTGCCACCTAATTAGTGGGAGCACTAATTAATGCTCCCAAACATTTTTCTTCTGAGAATTATCCTTGGATTTAGCACCGGACTTGGAGGTGTTGTCCTTCAATTTTCCATCGACTTTAGTGTCATCCTTGGATTTACAACCAGATTTTGTAGCAGCTCCTTTCGATTTGCTAGAGGAAGCTTCTCCACCTATGGCAACCAGTTGCAAATACAATGTCAACATTTTTTTTTTCAGGAATTAACACAAATAATACAGCAAGAAATGACTGTAGGAAAGTTACAAACCGTGAACCCTCCCTCTTTCCTTGCTTAGCTGATGGTTCAGGGTTTGTTTTCGTTTTCTTTTTTTTGCGCCTGATAGCAGAAAACAAGTTAGTAAGACCATCTCTAACGGTAAATTAAAATTGATATCAGATTTAAATTTTGATGAAAAATATACTTTTTTAAGCTTCAACTATTACACTAAATGAATATCAAAATGAGAAATTAGCAAAAAAAGTATCAAACTGAGAATAAGTTATGGATTTTACCAAATCACTGTTACTGACCGTTGAAAGAGATACATCGGTTGCCCGGCCGGTTGACCAACTGGTCAACCGGTTCATCAGATTAGGCGACGGGTTTGGACTGTGACAGGTTCAAACTGGTTAAACTGATGGGTTTGAACTGGTCCGTGGCCTGAGCTGTGTAGGTGAACCGGTCAACCATCCGGTCGCCCGGTATAAGCATGAGAATGGTACTGCTTTCAACAGGTTTGGTTTGAACAGGTAGAATTTCAGATAGGTTTATTTTTAGATAGCTTATTTTGTGGACTTGGAATAATTTGAAATAATTTGAAGGGTGATATAAATTTCAATTTCATTGAAAATATAATTCAAATTGTTATCTTTTATATAAATATTTTAAAATTAGTCGTTTCAGTAAATTTACCGTTGGATGGACAGAGTCTTTTGATAATTTGCCGCTCATATACATATTTTAAAAAGTAGCCGTTTTAATAAATTTACCGTTGCATGAACAGAGTATTTTTAAAATTTACCGTTGATAATGTGTTCTATAAAATATATCAGTTTTGTATATCAAGATGACAAAGTCTTTTATTTTGAGAAGAGCATTACATTGTATGTTGTGAATTTTGTTTGTTCTGTGATTTTTCTCCTTTGAAACTTTAATTTATATTGTATATCATTCTAATATTTTTTACTATTTTACATATTGTATGTACTGTATTTTTTTGAAGTTATGGAAGATTTTCAAATGTTTGAAGAATCACAAATGTTTCAGCACAACACTGATATTAATTTTATGTCGGGAACTTCACGAGAACAGAACACGCAGAGCAGTGATAATCATTTCATTTCAAAAATTTCTCGTGTTTCTCGTGGTAAAGCATTTACAATTATAGAAGATGAAACTTTATGTAGATCTTGGTTAGCAGTCTCTCAAGATCCCATTACTGGTAATAGTCAGACTATAGTTATATTTTGGGAACGAGTACTTGTTAATTTTAATTCACAATTGAGTAGTGAATCAAATCGAAACCGTATTTCTTTGTCTCACCGTTGGTCTGTCATGCAAAAGGCAATTAATAAATTCTGTGATTTTCTTGAACAAATTCAACTGAGGCAACAAAGTGGAACAACTGAGGCAGACATGGTAACATTTATTTGTGTTATTAAATATCAAATTTCTTCTCTAAATGCATATTTGTTATTAAAATTGTTATAATTTTTTTTTGTAGGTCGCTGAAGCAAAGCGGATGTATCATGCAATACAGAAAAAACACTTCACATTTGATACATGTTGGGATATTTTGCGCCGAAGTTGTAAGTGGGATGAATTTCGAACACAATCCAAAAAGAGTACGCAACATGCTTATCCATGTTCTAATCCACCAACTGGAGAATCTGATGCATTTCAATCCAACCAAAATAATGTTCTGCACGAAGAACCATCTAATCCATCAACACGACCAATTGGTACTAAAGCAGCGAAAGAGAAGTTGAAGAATCAAACAACCCACGATAGTAGATTTGATGAAATGGCTGCCAACCAATCCAAAATGGTTGAAGTGTTATCAACTATTTCTGCTAGAACTATTGAGCGAGATGAACAAAAGGCGATCGACCGTAACCAGAAAGCTACAGACCATCGAAGAAGGGCCGAAGATAGGGAGGAACAACTAAAACTCCTATCTATGATGAATGAAAGAGAACAACGAAATGAAGATCATAAAATAATGTCAATGGACATGACAAATTTAAATCCAATGCAAAGGGCGTACTACAAAGATCTTCAACGGCAGATTTTATTTCGAACAACTAATAGATTACCTTGAAAGGTTCTGTATTTACTGGTTTCATCTATTGGTGTCATCTATTGGAAAAGGAAACGGAAAACTGTGTACAATTATATGAAATGTCTCACTTGCGTTTTCTATTTATGTAAAATTAGAAATTAATTAATTTGTTCTCAGTTTTTGTTTCTTGAGATAGTTGCGTTCTATTCTCTACTGCTTCTTTGGATACCATATTGATTGTAAAAACAAAACACACCAATTGCTAAGTACTTATCATGAATGCAATTCTTCTTCATGGATATGTCAGATAAGGGGCTCATATTTTTTTTTTCTTTTACAATTTCCTACAACTATCTAAATGGGTGTTGTTCTTCTGTTACGCAATCAAGTCCAATGGGCTACATCTTCATATTGTTATACATGATTATAATTCCAAGGTTTTATAATTTCACCCTTCATTCAATCTGCGTCTTATCTTCATCTCAATGAATCTCCTCTGTCTGATTTCTCAAATAAGAATATGTTGTACATGTACATACAGTATTACAGATAACTACTTACATATAAATACATCCTTTATTCTTTTCTTTGGTTACCATTACACCTTTCAAAAAATTTCAACAAATTTAAGTAATCAGAAACATTAATAACATATTACAGATTATGGTATGAGTGAAGGTTGAAAAGATGGTGCTAAAGTAATACCGAAGCAAGATCATTTTATATCACATAATATTACAAAATCAGTACATTCATAAAAGAAATTTACCTAACAAAAGGTTGTGAAAATAATACAAGACAAAACAATGGAAACACATAATGGCACACCGATCAGCAGTCATTATCTGGTTGTGGTGGAGGAGGGAAGTAGTGATGGTATATGTCATTTACACGATGCTCAATTCTATCAATGCGATTATTTGCCATGTCATGACATCTTCCAATGTCCAAACGAAACTCACCAAATTGTTCAATTAATGAGTTCTGTGCAGTGGCAAATGTCTCAAACTGAGTACCCAACGAATTGACCTGATTAGCCATTTGATGTTCCCATTCAACGCGTTGATTATAACGTTGTTCTTCTATGGCCAAAAAATCAGTCCAATATTGAGGTGGTTCAGTTGATGGCATCACATTGACAGGAGGATCTTGTCGACCATCATCTGGTGGGACTTCATCCTCTGAATCTTCTGCAGCATTATCATTTTCCATTAAATTGGCGGCTGCACCAGCATGATTCACAGTATATTGCGTAATGGGTGAACGGATTTTGATCTCCATTTCATTTGCAAGATGAACCTTAAAATATTTGAAAATTTTTGTCAAGAGTGCCCCAAACAGTAATGACCGACCCATTTCTTGATTTGCCAGCACCATTTCTTTCATAATTATGTAAGACAAATCTAACTTCTGCCCAACCTCAAAACAGTATAACAAATAGGCATTAAAATATGGGACCGCATCATGATGTCCTTTTTTCGGAGTGACATTTTCTACAATCTTTCTACAATCCACCGGTAGATAAGATTTTAAATGTCTTGCTTGTAAACTAGTTCCAGTAAATCTGTTCTGACATATAGTAGTATATACATCAGAACCATTACCGACAATATTAACTAACTCAGCCTCAGTCTGAAAATAGGTATTTTCTTCACCTACCTCAACTCCAATAATGCGTGCCAAAGTAGGAACATCAAACTGTACACCCTTTCCTTTCACATATGACAAAAGAGTAAAATTTCCATCTTCTTCATGAGTAACTCTTAGGTGAACATAAAAAAGGGATACTAGCCGTGGATATACCTTTTGGGGTAAATTAATTAAATTTAGCCATCCCATTGATTCAAGTTTACTAACTAGTAGTGCATCATATTGAGGTGGCAGATTGACCCTCCTCCCTGTTACAATAGGTCGGCTTGAGAAATTTTGAAAGGCTAGTTCATGACTTTCACTGAGAAATTCATCTGTAGGATATGACTGATTTTGAGGCTACTGTTGTTCGCATCCTTTCTGAGAGCAAGCCTGTCACATAGATGGACAATGACTGGTGAACTTCCAAAAAAGTAACGGGATAAGAATGAAAACCGTTTGTGGCACAAGCATACCTTGTTGTAGAAGCATGAGCCATGATGTTACCACCAATAGGTTTGATTTGAGGCCCGGCAAAAATGGCAGAACCATCCACTTGGAAAACAACTTGGTTTGTGATAACAACAGCTACACCAAACTACAATTAAAATAGGCAAAAGGCAAATTATGAAAAATTGGATCCTTCTTTCATGAATTGCATCTAAATCATATGCAAATGCCTGTTGGCATATAAATAAATGAGTAAATAAATCATGGAAAAAGACTAATATTTTCCACGCCATGTAGAAACCCCAGAATCATGATTCTCACAACCTAAAGCTCGAATGATGAGCAAATACCATCCCCTCACATAATATGATGTCAACAATAAACAAGAGAGAAACCTACCTCATCTACTAATTTCTGAAGACTTCTCAAGAACTTTGCAAGATGCATTTGCCTGGCTGACAGCTCTCCCCTTCCAGAAAAATCCGTTTTATAAAGAGCGGTAGCACTGTCCACTATCATAAGAGCAAACCTATTTGATGAAAATTTACTAAGTTCAGGTTAAGTCAACCCACATAAACTACTAAAGATATAATAAGGCAGTAATCAAAAATCTCTTTACATGTTAGTCCATTGTTTGTATTAACTATTAGCAGTAACATCTATGAATGCCTCCAAAATGCAACTCCAAAAAGGAAGGAAAAGAGAGCAGATGCTAATCAAAGGGAAACCAGAGGCATTTTAGTTATTGACTCTACTTGATATGATATTGAGCAACTGGGGAAAAAAAAGTAAACAAAAGAATACCTGGTTTCCACCATCATTGAAGCAGCTTCAAGCAAAAGCCTTGATTGATGATCAGTGTTGTATGCTCTAGCATAGGCCACATTCTCCAAAACATCAGCACCGTTCAATCCAAACCTGCAGCATTTACGCCATTAATGACAACTAACACGACAGATGTTTATCTTAAGGTAGCATTACAAATACCTGTCTGCTATCTGTAGGAGTCTCTGTGGTCTGAATGTGCCCTCAGCATCAATGTACATTGTTTTTCCTTCACCACCGCCTTGATCTAACGGAAGCTGATATTTTAAAATGTAGACAAGTATGATGTGACACGTTAACGTGATAACAAAACAGATTGATGTTGCAACTAGCCACTGGGTTAACAAAAATAAAAAAAATTCCAGGCCAATAAATAGTCTAATGAACCTATGACGTAGAAACATCCTACATCTTACTTGGCAAGTGATGCATAGTGTGTGACAAAGCTGAGTCTTTCCAGATCGAAACTCGCTAGAAATTTCAGTTATAGATCCAGTCTCAATTCCTCATATGAAAGACAACCATGTGAGCTTAAAAGACTAGAAGTTATCAATTGCAGACAACTACTTCCAGGTTGCAACATTTATGTATCAATTGCAGACATTTATTTATGTATTTTGCATTGTAAAAGAATATCATTATCAATGAAAATTACCCTCTAAGACCTTGTCAAGTTCTCGTGATCCAGAAGTTAACTGAATGATTTCAAGCCTTTGCGCATGGAGTTGGCTAGCACTAGTGAAACCCAAAGGAATCAATTTGGAAGCTGTTTACAAACAATAAAAACTGGAAATTTAATGGTTTTAACATTTCACCGATCAAAGAAAATGCATTGAAGGGAAAGCATAAACAAACAACAACAAACAGTGAAAACATGCCTGCCTCGATGATCTTGTCGACTTTTGCTTCACTGATTCCTTTGATTTGCAGAAGTTCTTTCCTTGGAGAGTATGCAACAGATTCAACTGTGCAGAGACCAGCATCTTTAAGCTTCTTTATATCAAGGGAAGCAATTCCAGATGCCTTCAGATGAACAAAGAAATGTCAATGTGTTTCATGGACTCTTTTATTGCCCCCACAGTACCCGTGTCCACTAGATATGACATGGATAAGAGTGTGCGATATGTGTCCGAGACTCGTACCCAATTTAGACACTTGGATCCTTTAATTTGTTGAAATATATGAGAAGAAGAAACTCACATTTGCTAGTAAAACAATATTTTTAGCCTCTCACATGAATTAGAAATAGAACTTTCATATATTTTCTAAATCCTATTTAATATCAGGTACATTCCTATATAATTTACAACATTTCATCCGAGAATATTATATAATATGCAATATAAATGTGTATATGATGTGTCTCCGCACCCATATCCAAGATCTTAAGATTTAAATTTATGAAGGTTTGACGTTTGGATACACACCCACACCTGACACTTGTACTTGTGTCCATGTAAGGCATCAGATTCAAACCAAGTATATGCAGGTGTTGTAAAAATGTACAGAGCAAAATAATGTAATAACCATTTTTTTTTCTTTGTGGCTAAGCAAGCATTTAGCGAATAAATTGTTGAGAGTCAATTCTTGATAACTGAACAATTGGTAGAAGACGTCTTAATGAGGTGGTTTTGTCCTTTTGATGTAGCTTGTTTGAGGGTATAAATATCTCTCTCTCTCTCTCTCCTTTTGTTTTTTTTGAAAGGGAAACATTTGCTTTACTAGCTACCTCATTGGCAGTAAGAGACATGAAGGGGTCAAAGTTCCCACAAATACTGGAGCTTGCATTTGCCTATGGAGTTGTTGTAAGAACTTTGATCTTATGCAACATCCAACCCTATTTCCTAACGATTAAAATACAAACCCATTAGAAACCCACCCCAAAATGTCGTTATACAGGGTGGCTAGCTTGAATGCTGAAATTAATAGGGTTTGTTAACAAAATACTGTTCACATTATGAGAATTACAGGAGTATTGGACTTGGAAAAAATTCATTCGCAATAGAGCAAAAAAAAAAAAAAGTAATTTAGGAGTAGAGAGGTTAGCTAAAAACCTAGCCCTAGAAATGGAAAGAAGTAACAAATGTGAGTAAAACAGCATACAATAGGCAAGAATTAAAGCCAATGCGAAAACCCATTTGTGGATCTTGACAAAGAATCTGAAATAATTGGATAGTATAAATAAAGCGGACCTCATATATAGTACGAAAACAATAACCAAAAACAAAAACAAAGAAAAACCCTTTATTCGTTTGGTTTTATTAGAGCAAAATGAATGAGATACCCATTTGGGAAAAAAATTGGGAAATGTAGAGGGCGGTGGTGGTTGAGAGAGAGTGTGATGTTACCTGAAGGTGTTCAACAGGAAAAGGACCATGCTGTTGCATATCTTCCACTTGGTCGTGTTCTTGGCCCATCTTCTGGTTTCTTATTACTTGCTCCATGGCCGATCGATCAGTAAATCTCAGAGAGAGAGAGAGAGAGAGAGAGATGATACTAGAATTTTATGATGGAATTTTTGAACGCGTTTGCTCGGAGAGAGAGGCGCCAAAAACCAGCGGCAGTGGCTTACAGAGTAAGCTTTATACAGAAAGGAAAGGAGTTACATTACATTTACAATACAAACAATTTCAATCAGAAATACCCAACCCAAACCAACCCAACCCAACACCACTCCACTATTATATTGGTGGGCCGAACTCTAAGCCCAACAATCTCTGTGGGTCGTCCGCACCAAGGTGACCAGGTAATCGTCCGCATCCGAGTGACGTCCGAGCTGACCAGGTAATCGTCCGCACCAAGGTGCTCCAAAGCCTCCACTCTCTTCTTGTCGGAAGAACTAATGACAGTCACGTGATGGCCCATGGCTTTTGCTATCTTCACTCCCATGTGTCCAACCCCTCCAAGCCCCAATATTCCTCCTCCCATCCCACTCTCCTTCAGCCCAAAGTGAGTCAATGGGCTGTACACTGTCACCCCGGTACACAGTAGCGGCCGCCTGCTCCACCGCCATACCCTCTGGAATTTTCACCACAAACCTACCAAAAATTGGGGAAAAAACAAAGGTGAAATATAATTATAATCACTAATCCAAATTATTTGAAACATTTGGACTAAGGATTAGTTTGGTCAACATCATTTGGCTTTTTTATTTTTCAACAATGATTCATACCACTAAAAAAAATACTACTAATAATATTAATGTATTAAGAATGGCAAAAACAAAAAAAAAAAGGCATAGGCAACGCCCATTGCACATCATTAGTGTTTCCCTAGTACTCATTTTTAGTTCTCTCAACCATTTTTCTTTATTTTTTTAGTTTGAGTTGATTTTTTTTTTTAATTATAAACGAGTAAATTATGCCTGCAATACTGTAATTTATTATTTGTGTCAATTCATTTTCTCAAATTCAAATTGTATTAATTTTGTCATTTAAGTTTTCATATTACGTTAATTTGGTTTAATTAATAAATGAAGAAAAACAAAATAGGCTATTTTAGCCACAAAAAACAAAACATCACATCCAACCCATAATCATTACACTCTCCTCTCACAAAAAAAGTCAAAAAAACCAAAAAGCCCTTCTCAAACCAAGCTTTTTAGCCTAGGGCTAAAATAGCCAAAAAAGTCAAAAAGCCAAAAAGCCAACCTACTTCCCAAACGAAGGCTTAGTGCTTGTTTGAGATGTGCTAAAATAACACATATTATTTTAACACATTATCTTATTTGAGTCACAATCATTTTATTTAGGTCACATCACTTCTTATTTGAGTCACATCACCTCTTTACCACATCACTTCAAACCCAACTCATATTTCATATTTTTTTCATAAAAAGTCAAAAAGTATACTAATCTAACACTTTCCAAACAACCCCTTAATCTTTCTTATCACATTTGATTTTATCAATTTCAAAATTTTAAAATTTTCTTAATGTAAAACAATTGTTATGGGTATTGTTAATATTAGTACATTTATGGAGCATCCCCGCAATCTCGTTTCATTTATTCTTGACATGGGATTCTATAGAATTTTACAAAACTCCTAAAGTTCTCATTTACACTGAATTGAAAAACAACAAGATTAAATTATAATATGTGATCGATTTCGATTCAGCAACTACAAAATTGGATGTTTCATTTTGGTGCTAAATTTCTTTTAACCTATCAAACTGAACCAAATTGTTTACACCTGTAGTGGTAGAAAGGGGAAAAAAATAAAAAAAATAGAAAGCGATTATGTTTTAAAATGGGTCTTTAATATAAAAACAATAGGGCCTTTCATTACCACCTTAACTATTGAAGTATTACACATAGCAAAAAAAAAAAACTATAGGGCCTTTAGAAGAATGAGGCCTAAGGCAACTGTCTAAGTTGCTAAATTGTAATGTCGACCCTGAATCCTACCATTGTTGGTCACCACCATCATGACCCCCTTCTCTAGCCCACACCACCGTTAAACTCCCAAATTTCGAAAGAATAAGAATAAGAATAAAAATAAGTAGAAGAAGAAGAAGAAGGAAGTGAGAGGGGGAAGGGCTAGGTTTTCAGATTTGAAGGATGAGGATGTAAGGCGATATGCAGTGGAGAGGAAAGAAGAAGAGGTGGTGGAGGGAAGAGACAACAAGAAGATGGTAGGGTGGTAGAAGAGATGATGATGGAAGAGAAAGGGTGAAAAGAGTGGCGAAAGAAATAGCCAACAAGAAGATGATGAGACAGAAGAAAGAAAGGAGTTGAAGAGGAGATAGGAAGAGCAGGGGGTTATGCTAGCCCCAACAAAGGCAAAGGTAGCGGGGAAGGAAAGGTTATGGGTTGCGATAGTTAGGGCTATGCAAAATACCTTTAAATTTGTTAAAATTGCATTAATTCGCACCAATTTATCTGCTAATCGCGAATTAAATTTTGAAATTTATAATCCGCCTTTGACATCACTCTACTCCGCTATAGTTAATACATATATTTTTTTAACCAGTAATGAAATATTAAAGTAAAAATGAATGTGAGAGAGATTTAAGATGTGAAATTTGTTACAAATTAGTAGTTATATATATAAAAAATATTATGTAAATTAGTTTATGTTATATATATGGAAAATATTATGTAGGTCAGTGTTACATATTATGTAAATGTTTGATAATTATTAAGAATATCTTCAATTAACTAGCAAATTGAAATCACTTCAAACTGTCAAAACTACGGTTTGGTTATTTGTCAATCCGCCATTCATGGTTTGGTTTGTAATTTTACTCTCACACCGCCTGAATCGCACCACGCACACCCCTGTATTAGGGAATTAGAGAGCACACAAGCACACAACAACATCAACCTAATTCATTATACATAAACTCCAGAATCCACAAATACCATATCAAGACCAACATACATTATTTGGAACTCTTAGTCACTTAAAAGCGTAAGCATATAATTAGAGAGCCCATCTAATGTATATTAAGACTCATATCTTTTACTCTTTATCCGATGTGGAACTCATTCTTTACATATGCTCCAACAATCTCCCCCTCATGTGTGAACCAAACACTGGGCCTCTCTATGCTCCTCCTCAAGTCATGATCAGCAAGTTTATTGTAGATCATTACACACTTCCCTTTAATCTTGATCAATAACTCTCCAACATCGAGTCTAGCTTGGGCCACCTGTACACATTCCATTGTGAGTCACCATACTCTATTAAAAGCTACCTTTTCACGGTCCAACCTTGCTACGTGTACTAGGAATTTTTTTTGTTCTATGAAGAGTTATCATGGATTTTTCTTACTTCATCAAGAGTTTTTGTGCAAGCCCAAGCCCACCAACATCAATGCTTTAGAAGAGTCCGCACATAGATTGTCTGCCATCATTCTTACTCTAGGAACCAACGCTTTGATACTAATTGTTAGGGAATTAGGGAGCCCAAAAATGCATAGTAACACCGGGCCAATTCATCATAGAGAAACTCCAAAATCCACAAATACCATATCAATGCCTAACATGCATTATTTGGAACTTAAACCCACTTAAAAGCTTAAGTCTATAAGTGGAGAGTCCATTTAATATATATTAAGGGGCAATTTGGGAAGTTGGTAAAAAGCCAATTTTTTTGGCTTTTTAGTTTTTTTAGCCAAAAAAGTTAGTTTTTTTTACCCAAATCACTATCAAAAAAGCTATTTTTTTTTGGCTAAAAAAGTCAAAAAAACCAAAAAGTTAGCTTTTTACCAACTTCCCAAAACACCCCTAAGACTCATTTCTTTTACTCTTTGTTTGATGTAAGACTCTACCTTTACACATGCTCCAACACCTAACGATAGTGATGAAGCCTATGAAGGTGGCAACAGAAGATGCTTACAGTTTGAAGATTGAAAGTAAGGATCTTATGAAAATTAAGTGATGTAAACCAAGTAAAAACTAAAAGTTATGTGTGTAAATTGAGTAATGATGTGAAAATGAGTGCGGGAATAGAAGCTCCCTAGTAGGGAAAATGGAAAGAAGGGAGAGTTGTGTGAGTAATGAGATTAAAATTTTGTTTGGCAACTTTTGATTTTAGCTTAAAAGTCAATAGATTATTAAAAAAGTAAAAAAATTAACAAATGACACAAAAAAGTTAAAAATTCTTTTTTCTTGCTACATTTTGTTACATCTTTTCATATTTTAGTCAAAAAAATAAAAAGTTACTAAAATAGTTTGTTTCCAAAGATAATTATTTCCAATTCTCATGAAACCCAACATTTTTTCATTTTAAATTCCATTCAAATCTCACAAAATCAATCTTAAATTCCATCTATTTCAAACGCATCAAATTTCATTGTCAATTGCTAATTCCACCGTTCTAAACAATTGTTGGGTTTACAGCTAAATAACTTTTTTGGGAGTTGAAAAACTTTTTTGGGGGGTTGTTTTTTTTGCACCTTTTGCTCATGTAATAAAAATTAACCTTTTCTATCCTCCATTTTATTTTTTCCAACAGAGAAGGATAACACACTTTTTGGTGAGTGCAATGTGCAACCCATGCCATGTGCTTAAACTTTTGGTTCTTGCGATGTTCCACTAACTATCCGCACTAGAAAATTATCTCTAACTATAATTTTTATAAAGAAAAATCATCCATCATAATAACTTGATAATGATATTTTATAACTATTAATATTAATTGTACGTGTACGGGGAGCAAATATTCCGGCAAGCCCGCACTCCTTTCTTCCAAGCTCCTGTCTGTCCGATCGACCTACGAGCACAACGGCGGTGAGCTACCCGGCGGTGTATGGCCGGAAAACCCCTCCGACAATCAAGTTAGAACACACACATAGGGGATAGATAGAGAGAAGGGAGAGTCTTGTGTTTAGTGTTTATCTCACCAAAAAATGTCCTGTCCCAAGCATGGGGGCGCAGACTTGCTTATATACCTTCTGCGCCCCAAATCTACTCCCAGTGACCTCTCGACACGTGGTTCT